CAAATAACTTTAAGCTAGAAATTCATAAAAAATTTTCTTTTTAAATCTAAGATTTGAAAATTGAATACAGGATTCCTTACAATTTTCGTCAATCATTATCACAACAAAATGTCCACGAGAAATTCAAAATAAATTTTTATAAAGCCTTTGAAAATTAAATTTTTACAACATTGGATTTTCACTTGATTTCTCATTTAGTTATTTTCTTATTTTGATGTACCTAACTCTAAAACAAATGACCGCAGATACTTGAAATTTTCACTGAATGTTTATATGGGAATTTTCTATATTTTATAAGATTTTCAAAATATTTTGATCAGTTTTGAGCTGTTTGATGACATTTTAATTTTTCAACTTTTTTTAGTTTTTTTTTTTCTATAAATATCGATAAAAATTTATTTTTTGGGTAGAAAAGCCTGAAAATTTAATTCAAAACACCTAACATATTGTTACAATATCAGTTGAAAAATATTAAAAATACATATTATGCACGATTTTTAGATTCTGAGCGGAGCGATGAATGTATTGATTTTACCATGATGTGTGTGTTTTTTTTTTTTGTGTCTGTGCCGCAAAATAAACAATGAAAGGTTAAATTGGTGTAAATATAATTTGCTATATGCACTTATGTATTTTCCACGGATATTTATTAATAGTTATCTTTTATTCCCTATTAATAATTATTGGTTACCTATACAAAAGTGTGATATATTGTATTTAATAAGTTTGTTATTAACCTAACGGATGTCGATCTTTCATATTATGCTTAAATATTTGACTGTTGCCTATATTGACAAAAATTAATTAAGAATATTTTTTTTTGCTAATACAAAAATATTAGGTAGGTATTTGATATTTTAGATTCTGAGCAGAGCGATGAATGTATTGATTTTACCATGATGTGTGGTTTTTTTTTTTGACGATACTTAATCGCTATTACAATAGCGTTTATTATTAATTATTACAGTCTAGCTTAGGTAAGTCTGGTTTGGAATTTGGCTTATATCTTATCATTACACAAACTAGTTTATATTATGTTAATGTTTAGTTATACAKGTATAATTGTGTCAAACATTTTGCACAAAAGTCATAAATTATGACCTAGAAATTACAAACGTATTTTATTAATTAGGTACTTTTAAGTACTTTGGGGAGTAAAAAGTAAAAAATTCTTAATACTTTT